TGTATAAAGTTCTCTCTTTTGAAATCAAACATTACAATTTTGGACTTTAAGGGTAATTTTCCATTGACCAGAATGCTGAACTTAATAGCATCACAGTTACTGTTCTCAGTTGGTGCAACATCTCTCACCAGGTCTTGAGCCCCATTCACTACCCCTCTGGTTGGCTCTGTGACCAACTGTTCCAGTGCACAGCCATTTATGATGTCTAGGAATCTAATTTCTACAGCATCTCAAGCACATGTTTACCTAGTCAATGTGAGGGTAGTTGAAGTCTCCCAGTATCGTAACATTATCTGCTTTAGTGACCTCCCTTCTTTCCTTCTCCATCTTAAAATCAGCCCTTTTGGGGTGGAGCTGTGGTTCCTTGCAGCAAAAGTTCTCAACAATTCCACTTCAAAGGATCTGGCAATGAGTGATGTGAAAGACCTCTGTCTGAGAGTCTGGAGTGCCACTGAGTCTGAATAGGCAGCACCAACCCTGACAGGCCAATAGTCTGACACACTATGGGTCCGTTCAGACGGGGCATTTCAGCAGGCATAAACTGTACCGGTTGGAACCGGTGCAGTTTATGCCGGCTGAAACACAATCACACTTACCTCCTGTCTGCGGAGCCCATCGCTGTATGCCCGTTCACACACAGCGGGCATCGGCGGTTTGTTGTTGTTTTTTAACACAGTTTGCGCATGCGCATAGGCAGCCATTTCATGCATGTGCAAAACACCCCATCTTACATTTAAAGTTTAAAGGTAAGGACTTACCTTTAAAGTTTAAAGAGCAAAGTGGCCTCCCTGAGGTCCTGGACTCCTCTAAAAGTTAAACCAAGGACATTTTCTTTCTTTTTTAAACAAACGCCGGGGCGAAGCTTCGCCTAAGCGCATATTGCCGACCTAAAAAATAAATGGTGGGCGAAAATCGGAAGCCTCGGGCTTCCGAATGGAAGTGGCTCTACAACGTTGGAGAGCGATCAGACGGGGGGTAAAGCGATTACAACCGTTGCACTCAGGATACCACCACTTGGGGGACCTAGTGGCAGAATACAACAGTTTAAAGCTCTTTGCAACGGTTAGGGACGGAAGGCAGATGTTCGCCGTGTGAACGCCGGTAAGTACACTGGTTCCAACTGGCACCTATACCGTTGCAAATGCCCCGTTTGAACGCACCCTATAAGTGAACCTCATATGTTGAAATCCACCACCTCACCTGTGGCATGAAATGCTGCAGGTGACAAAAAAGCTCTATTGCTTGGATACTGATTAACATTTAAGTTGCCCCCATCTGTAATTATCACCTTGAATTTGTGAACACAGCAGGGTGGACAAAGCACGTTTAGTCAAACTGGAGACAGCAACGGAAGAGTGGTGTGGTGGGGTGACACTTGTTTCAAGCCACTCCAAATTAACAGCTGGTGGGGCAGGGACAGCCACTCGCGGAGAACCTGCCACTGTCAAGCTTGGAGTGGGGCTTCCTTGAAATATGGACAACCCAACCTGGGTTATTGTCGATGCTGAGCACTGGGCCTACAGAGAGCAGAGGGCAGGCCCAGGCAAGGCTGGGCATGCTGAAGAGCAAGGGAACCAATCAGTCTCCAGCTTCGTCTTGAGGCCTCTCTCACCTTTCCAACACTAAGAGGTCCATGACTTCCCTCGCTGCCATCCTGGCCAAGGGCTCCCTCAGACCCCAAGTGCTGTTTCTGCCACTGCCAACTCTCCCCCTCCTCCGACTTCCTGTCCTCCGTTAACTTATAAATCATTGTGATGCAAATGGGAGTTTGTGAGCATCTTTAGGGGAAAAAAAATAGAAGACTAAGAGATTGGATTTATACCCTGGCCCTTCACTACCTGAAGGAGACTGTAAGGCGCTCTGAGACTCCTTTGGGTAGTAAACGGTGGGGTATAAATCCCATCTCACTTCTTCCTTCTTCTTCTAGCAGTTTACATTCTCCTTTCCCTTCCCCTCCCCACAACAGACACCCTGTGAGGTAGGTGGGGCTGAGAGAGCTCTTTTGAGAACTGCTCATGAGAGAACAGTTCTGAAAGAACTTCTAACTGAACCAAGGTCACACCAGCAGCTTCATTTGGAGGAATACGGAATCAAACCCGGCACTCCCAGACTAGAGCCCATGCTCCTAACCACTACACCAAACTGGCTCTGCTGGATCAGATCTATCTAGTCCAGCATACTGTTTCACACAGCAGCCAATCAGTTCCCTGGAGGACCAAACAGATCATAGATACTGAAGCCTTCCCCAGCTGCTGCCTGCCAACACTAGTATTCAGACATTTGCTGTCTCTGTATATGGAAACTCCCTTCAGTCACCATGGCGGACATTTATATAGCTCTTTAATTAAGCATCCACAAGTTCTCCCTTGTCCCTATCCAAGCCCTGCATCTGCAGAGGAAAATGTGGGGCTGGGAGAACCCATATTTCCCTCATAATAACTAGTTAAGCCATGAGGGGCTTGTGGGAGAATTGTTAAAGGAAATAAATGTAACTGGGCTATGCTTTTCCAGGAATGCAAATTTTTATTTACAGGGACCGTTTTGCTGGGACTGATGCTTCCAAATACTGTCTTTCTCCAATGACCACAATGCTTCTGTGGGTTACTGACAGACAGACACACTGGATGTCCACTAGCCAGCCTATCACTGTCTATTCTCATACTGATTGCTGCCTAAATATATTCACAGGGTTTGCACTGTGGGATGTGCAGAGATGGTTAGCAGCTGTGACAAAAGTAGTCTCAATAGTTCTCAAGCCCCGTGGTAAGAAGTGACTCTTCTAGGAGGCACTTCCTCTTTCCTGACTAGGTTTATGCTCCCCAGTCCCATCTATAGGTATAGCAATATCTGGAAGGGTCATAAGCATCTGTAGCTATGAAAGGAGGCTGTTTCCACTGTTGACTTTAGCAGTGGTCTTCTCTCATTGTGCTTGCTGACAGGTACAGGAAAGATGAGCATTTTTATTTCCACTCAGCATTTGGCATCATGGAGAAATGTACAAGCACTACCTTTCAAGTCCAAAAATCAGTTAGTTTGTAAAAGGGACAGGGAGTGGGAGAAGCCTGAACAAAACTGTAAGCAATAAAGCTTTGCATTTCAAATTCACAAACAAGCAATGGAAATCACATCTGAAAGATCAACACGACACCAAGAAATTCCATTTAATAATTAAAAAAGACAATATGAAATGCAAACTTTTTTCTTTTTACAAGTTTAGATACAATTTCTTTTATCAAGTGCAAATAACTTTATGGACTACACCTTTTTCATCATTTAATCATTATTTTGCAGAAGATACTGTATTGTGGCATACTGCATAAATGCAGGTATAAATATTTCAGCTTTGTTGTTTCAAAATGGTTGCATTTCCTATGTTGAGATGGATTTTTCAGCTTTTCAAACCTTTGTATTTTCTAGGTTTGGAGAAGGACAAAATTGAAACTAGGTATCTAGCTGGAAGGAGATCAGGTAGAATGTCTATGCTGCACTGAACATAAATTTTGCCTCTGGAGTTAGCCCCAGTTTCCGGCACCTCTTCCATACTCGTTTATGGTAAGCAATACTCCCTCCCCCCAATATAAACAAATGCATGTGAGTAGCTAACAGCTGAATCTGATAAAATTGGGGCCACATATCATGGTTTAGCTGCTGTAATGAGATCTGATGTAATCAAGTACCACATTTATGCTTATCTCAGAGGTATTTCTTCAGTGCTAAATACCTCAATTTGTGAAATGATCCCAGTGGATTTAGTGGAGCTGATTCTGATTCAGTATCAGCCAAAAGGGAGGAACAAGCAAACCATCAGCATCAACACAGGGAAGCATCAAAAATTTCAGTACAGGAAATGAAGATGATTTGGCCCAAGTGCAGAGTTGCAGGCCTTTAGATTACAGTTCTGATTGTTAATTTTAGGCCATGGCTCAGAGAAGGCAACAGACACAGTGATGTAAACTAGGATTTTGTCACTAGTATTTGCACTGAAGCAAGGGATCTTAGGTAGGGAAATTTTAAACTGGGAAAGAAGACACACTGGTCAGGACAATATCAGCCAAGGCTCACCCCAAACCTGTGTCTGATGCTGGGCTTAGCCTTGGAACATGGGACTACAAGCGTGCCTTTGAATATGTGCAGAGAGCATTTTCTTCCCCTATCATCCCTCATGTTTGAAATCAGAGCCTACCAAAACATCTAGGTTGGATTTCTCTGGTAAAAATGGGAGGTTACCAAAAAAAAGAAAAAAGGCTATGCTGGGAATCAGGGGACCAGCATGGATAAAAGTCACATGGAACGGAGACTGTAATAAGGAAGGGAATTGAATGAACCTGCTGGCTGGATCCAACCCCATACCACCTTAATACATAGATGGAGGATCTTAGATCTGAATTCACTCCATACTCCTTGCCTATGCAAAACTAATCAGAGAGAAGGAAGATTAGACTATACCTCCCCACACACAAAACTAATGACACATACTGAGAAGGTTTAAATGGGGGAGTGATTCTAACATGTGATCTCTGACATGCATTCTGAGATGGTGCAGTCTCATGAAGACTATAGTGCATGCCTTTGTTAACATCTACATTGGCTCCCAAGCACTGCTTGTGACGAAAACATAATTTCCAGTCATTTAGGGATATTCAGCCTATGCCCTGTGTAGCTTCAGTGGTCACAGGATAATCATGGAGCTCAATCATCAAGATTTACCCCTGGATTTTACTGTAGTGAGGAAAACAAAAGATTCCAAGAGCTGAAAACTTAGTCACATTTAGTCATAATTATCCCAATCCTTGCTTGTGTTCTTTTGTTTCATTTTTATAAACACATGCGCACACACACACATTCTCTTTTCTCAGACAAGTATAAATATCGTAATTTCTAGTAGAAAAAAACTTCCCTCTAAATAATATAAAGACAACTCAAAATGATTGCACTTAATAATATGAAAAGGTAGAAAGGAGAACATCCTAGTGCACAAACATTCACTCACTCCTGCCCTTCACACCGCTTGCTTGTTGTTTCCCCCCCCCACTGAATTACTCTTTGGCAGAGCTTATAAGAAGTCTGGTCTCTCCACGCAAGTGTCCATCAGGGGGGAAGTCACATTGGAAAGTCTCACTTTTCACCAAGTTCTCCTCCCCTTTCCCCAGACATATAAGAATGCGGCTAGGCCAATGCTTTCTTCAAAGGCAAAGAAGTCAATCAAGAAATGATGCTCTCCTAAGCCACCAAAACTGCCATCCCAACCATGGGCCATTTTCTTTCACACTTCTCAGATATGACTTTTTATTTCTGTATATATTTTTCTCCCAGAAATTAATAATGTTTTTCCTTGGATCCTCCCTGCAAGACTGTTCTTGATTTACTTTTTTTTTCTTTAAAAACCACAACAGTCTGATAAGGCATACCCTTTCAAGTCCTGGGTGTTGTCTGGCTTCAGTTCTTTACAAAAGAGTTCAGCTGGACCAATCCAATTCCTTAGCAGCTGCTAGAAGTCCACATTTCATATGTGTTCCAGAATTGCAGGCATGATATGGAAGCAGGGGTGTTTCTTTCTACAAGCAGACAGTCACGCAGAGAGAGGTACCCAAATGGCCTCTTGGCAGTTGTCCTGCAGTGCAAGGGGCTGCACATGACTTGCATATATGGGGAAAGGATGAAAATGCTCTAGAGTTACAGGTCCCATCAGAGGCCACTTGTGGAGAGTGCATCACTGAGTGGGATATGTGTGATCTCTGTAGGCTGAGACTAGAAAAATACAGGGGAATGAGGATTCAGTTCCTCATGGTTGCTGGCTGCTCCTTCCATAGACGACATCATCAATGAATTGGGTTTGAAGAAAAGCCAAGGTTATAATTAACTGCATAGTGAGAGATGAGGGGGAGGGTTGTATTTGTAACAAAAGTCACTGAAAAATAAGAATAAGTGTAAGAGAAAGTTTTCTTGGTTGTGGAGGAGCCTGGAAGGCTGGTGAAAGCACCATGAGGCTATTTGTAAGGCCTGAGAAAGCTGGAGACTTTGGAGCGGAGGAGTTTAATGAAGGAACGTGGCAGCATCTCCTTGTGCTTCTCTGTGTACTTGAAATAGTTTTGTGGGTGAGCCAACACATCAAAGAAAGCCTTGATCAGCTTCTTGTCCTGTGGGGAAAACAAGCCAAGCCGTCAAATCACCATTATGAGCCAGGACATACTATTGTACTGATCAGTTCACTAACATCTACAGGGTCTGCATGTATCACCTCTGCGGTATACGTGGCAGATCTGAGACCAAAACAGCAGCCGTCTGAACAAGGTAAACAGTTCTACTGTGAAATATGAGGAAGATCTGAAAATCCAGAGAGCACCTCTAATGTCCAACCTACATTTTATGATGGAAATTATTACTAATTTAAGTCTCCCCAACAATCTGTAACATTTTTTTTTAAAGCCCATGGACCATGGTATGTCAAATATTTGTCAGGCTCGGGTTGGTTGACCATCTATACCTGTTATATTACTGCCCTGAGTTCTTGATGTATCTCTCCCTTGTGGTAAGCTTGCCCTCCCCGCTTTCCCTTAGAGTGTTATTTTAGAGGCCTTATCACTTACCCTCGTCTGCCACCGCACTCCTAAGGGGGGGGGGACGAATGTGTGTATGTAGGAGTAGAGGCGCTTGCTGTTGTAACTCTTCTATGAGGCCCCAACATGACCTCTTTCACATGGGAAGATGTCCTTGGAGAAACGTCTTTGATTAGCTAGGGATGGACCATATATTTCTCATGGTCTGGGTAGTATTGCTGATGTATGAGAATGGAATGTGTGATTGTAACTATATGCACCTTTCCTGCCTTCCCACCTCAGTTCTGACAAGGAGTTCATTCCCTGAACATCTCATATCTTCTAATAAAACTTTAAACCAAGAAAGTGTGTGTGGAGAGTGACTTGACTGGGACACTGAGAATATCACACTAGGATTTCCTCTCTTCAATGGAAAGAGGGTGTCCTGTCCAGTTTGGGCATGAGTACCTACAATAACAAGGGCATTAAGCCAAGAGTAGTATATGAAAATGGACTTATTCTGAGTCATAGTACTGGTCCATGTGGGCCAGTAGTGCCTACTCAGAATGGCAGCAGCTCTTCAAGGCTGTGGGCACATTTCCTGCTACCTGAAATCTTTTTCAAAGTGGAAATGCTGGGAGTAAATCTAGGGGGTTATATGCATACTAAACACCTGCACTAGTGCCGTATCAGCAGTCTCACCTTTAGTATCTCCTGATGGTTTTCAGATGCATAAAGCCTGCCATCCCGTACAATGTCCTCCACCAGCTGCTCATAATCCTCTACAATATTGAATGAAAAAAAGAATCAGTGAGATAGTGCGGGGGGAAGAAACAGTCAGTGAGCGAACTCATCTGTTTCTAGAAGCAATAAACAAACCAAATAAATAATATTAAATAGCTATAAAGGGTAACTGAGAAATGACTGAAGGAATCCACAGATCAGTACGAAAGGGCAATTGGCTCTTGAAGGCCAAAAAAGCCACAAAGGAAGGGTGGCACTTGCTGGAATAAATAACATAAGAATTACTGGCAGATCTCTGTACCCCTCAATAAAGATTTATGCTTGAAAAGTAGCTACTGCTTAAACTTTGCTGCTTGGCTATTGTTCCTAATAATTTTAAACATTTCTGCCCCTATTGAAAGACCTTCATAAAACGATTAGTACAGCTTTCTGTGGAACTACCTTTTAGCCAAGTTCCAAATTCAGGAGGAAATCTTAGGACCTTGGACCACACTCCTGGGCTTGACTGTATTTTGGTCACATGCATTGTATTCTTCCTACTTACCATCATAGGTGACATAGGGGATCTGGAAGCCTCGGGCGCTGTTGGCTTCACTAGTTTTGAAGTTGATCCACAGTTTTCGGGACCTTGCAGTGAAAGCTATGGGCCTCTCATAAGTCTGGCATGTCTCATAGGTAGTGATGGAGGAGGGAGAGGCTGCAGAGGAGAACATAACAGGACCAAGTATTGTCTGGAATCATTCATACGTTACAACCCACAAAGACAGCATTAAAACACCTGAGGTGCAGAGCAGAAGAATGGATCCGAGCAATTTAGGTAATGCTCTCCCTGATCCTTTGTCTTCACCTTTGTCAAAGTCCTCCAAACCCATGAGACAAAAACTGGCTCATACTGAAGACCCTTTTCAAGGTCTTCCTCTTCCATAGTCACTTTGGCTGAAATCTCTATAGACTCAAATAAGCCTATAGGTAAGAATTGTAGACTTGTATGCACAGTGGCCACTTTTGAAGATTTGTATTCCTTTGCCTGCAGATTCAAATTGTAAGTATTTTTTTTTTGGGGGGGTGTATTATATTTGAAGTCACAGCAAGATCACATTTCATAAAACAGAACACACAAAATTAAAAGAAAGCCTGCAGAGTAGAACATTGTACTGCTTCAGAGCATCACAAAAGTGTCTTACTGGGGGGAATGCACGGGGTGGGGTGGATGTACACCGGTCCCTCATTCATCAGCATGGATGGGGACGGAAAATACAAGGTCAACAAGGGCTAAGCAATCCACAAGCCATCCTTGTGGTGGTCAGCTCAGGGATTACCTGCATTTCCAATTCAAGCTAATTCCAAGCATGTAACACACTCATGCCCAATATTTAAATTGGGAGCTTCTAGCATTGTAAGGTGCTATGGGTCTTAAAGTGGAGAATCCAGTAGCAGGATCCAGGCACTTTATTCTCTATATTCCCACAGCATCTTGTTGGGAGGGAACAGATGCTGGCCTGTTTTCTGCAGCAGCACTAATACAGATGGCCAGGGAATGATATTACAGTTATTATGGCAGTGGGAACATTTGACACAAGGGACCAGTAATGCTCACCATCTATCCTTATATACATTTGAGTTTTGGTGTAGACTCTTCCACACGCCTCCCCAGGCTTTGGGCCCCTGATCTATCGATCAGGAGGGGGGCCAATCCCCTGGCCGTCTTGCCTCCCTCCGTTGCCTCCCTCCCGCCCACAGACCCGCGGACTGGCGAAACAGTCCCTGGGAAACATGGCGGTCCGTGCAGTCAACCTAACAGGGTACGGGTGGTGGAGGGAGGAGGGCTGTGGTCTCCGATGCGGCAGCCGCCCGAGCCGCAAGCCGCCACCCCCGCAAACCTTGGCTCTGTGGCCCCGCAACTCGCCGGCCTCCACTCCCCGTGCTTGGCGCTCACTCCGCTTCACTCCCAGGTTCGCCTCTAAGGAGCCAGAGCTGCCCTCTCCTCTCCACTGCCACCAAGACGCACGTGCCATGCACCGCCCCCACTACGTGGTCTGCCTGGAGCCCCTGAGCTGCGGCTGGCAGCAGAGCCAACGCCTCCCCAGGGGAGAGGCAACCAGGGAGGCACCGGCAAATGCCGCGGGGGGCACTCCGCTACTTGGGGCCTCCTCACACCCAGCCTTGGCGCTTGCTCCGCTCCCGGGTTCGCCAGCGCCAAACCTCCCCGGGGGGGGGGCACCAGGGAGGCACTGGCAAACGCCGCAGGGGGTGCTCCGCCAATTGGGGCCTCCTTGCGCCCAGCCGCAGGGAGCCCTTTGACAGCAGCTGGGAGACGGCGGCCACTGAGCACGCTGAGGCCTACTTCTGCGGCCTTCCTGGCATCAGCCCTCGCCCCGGGGTCTTGCTAGGGCCCGTGGCATTCATTCACCACGGGTGTTTCGGCTAGTAGTCTTATAAAGCTGTGGACTCTGGCCTAGCTCTTCAGAGTCCACATTTTGTCATTTATGCATATAATTAGCTGCTACCCATTCCTAATTGCTTTGCTCGGCTGTCTGGCTGCCTGCCTTCAGACAATAGCCTTGCAAACAGTCTGGCTTGATCACTTATTGGTACTGACAGAAAGATAGGAAGGCTACTATTGTTTCCTTGGTTTCTATATTCCAGACAGCTGGAAGGAATCTACACACATTTTCACTGCCCATTACCCTTTACATAGCCCTAGCACAACATTTGGTTACCTACAGTTTTTCCGCATTACTAGGACATCCCCACATTCATCCTCAGATGGCAGAAAGATTTCAGGCACCACAATGAGAATCTTGCGCTTTGGAGGTGGGTTGATATTCCAAGTGCACTCCACATTCGCAGGGTAGTTTCCAGGGTAGTTGGGAGACTCAATATAACCAGTATATTCACCCAGCTCCCCTCCACACTGACGATCTACATGCATAAGGAAAAACAGCAGGAAGTCAATGAAGACAAGATCAGTTCAGTGGTGCTTTGTATATTAACACTGATGAGGGCATCACAGATAGTAGAGTACTGGGGAATTTGAGATTAAGTCCCTCCCCCCAAATTCCATACAATCTACAGAGAAACAAAGCATACTTTTGCACTGTGATACTGAGGTCGAGCCATCAAAGTCTGTGGTAGTATTCCCAGGGCACGTAATGCAGTAGTTTTGACGGAAGTCTGGCTGGTAGGTCCCTACAGCACAACGGATGCAGCGATGGACACTGGTATTATAATAATGGCCTGGAGAGCACTGAACTACGCATTGAAAAGAAGAGAAAAGTGTCAGAAACCTCAAAAAACAACACAACCCCAGCAAATAATAATGTTATTGGCCACAACCCAAAATAAAGTTAGGCCCACTTAAGCCCACTGACATCAAGGGGCTTAAGTACACATAATTCAGTAGGGCTGTGATCATTATTCTTAGGTACAGCACAATTCAGCTATGCTAGTAGTAAGACAACGTAAAATCGAAACAACCGGTTCTTGAGTTCAATATCTCAATTCATTGGTGGGGAAATGGAGGAAATGACAAGATATGTAGTTTGGCCATAGACAAAGATCAAGTCACCATGAGAGGTGGGCTTGAAAGAGAATGCTGGGATTTTACAGCAAAGAAGACACTCTGAACTGTGGCGGGAGTGGTCTGAACACACACTTGCTACATTTGTTTCACCACATTTTGAATACGTGTCTGTCTCGATCCTAAACTTCTGACTATACTGAATTCCCTGCATAGTAAATGCAGAATCATTCTGAAGATGATTAAGTCCTAGGTGCAGTGGAGGACTTTACTGAGATTCTTTATTAGTCAAGAAGAACAAGAGAGCCAATAATAAGTATATTTGGATATGTGTGCAATAAATGCACATTCCCATTTTCACACACTTCATATAACTTCCTCAAAGTTATTTTTAAAGGCAGCAATAATGCATTTTCTGGGTACTCAGAAGTGACTACTCTCCTTGCGTCCTCTATAACTGTGCCATTTTGTAAACATTTAGACATTTACTTATCTAATTTAAATCCCACTTAAGCTGGTGTACATTCCCCTGGCATACAAATCCTATACATCCTCTGACAGGTACCATCAGTATTCTGCAAACCAGAATCCCTTGTAATAAATGTGTCTTATTAGTGTAATGTGGTGCCCCTGCTGCTCCAGGCCAGGGGTCCAACCCTTGGCTGCGTCAGTACACTTCCCTCAAGGGCCTGACAGGCCTCACACTAGAGAGAGGAGGGGGTTGCTTTACCTGGTTACTCCTCCTCCCTGATTGATGCAGATCTTGCCCCCTCTGTGAGCTGAACAACCTTTTCCTCCCTGGTCTGTTTCCTGGGCCCTCCTTATATCCTCCTCCCACCAGGTGGAGGCCCCACCCCTTGCCTTTGGTTTTCTAATTCCTCCACCTTTCCAAACCCCCCCCCCACCTGGAGGTGTCAGCCAAGTGAAGAGTGGGTCTTCCTCCTCCTATTCGCAGATCAGGACAGCTTTTACTTGACCCCTTTGGGGATGGAGACACCCATCTTCTACCCTCCTCCCCCCCCGGGCTTGGGGTGGCTTTGGGGCCCTGATACCTCTCCTCTGGCTGGGATGAGCTTGCCCTGGCGTCCCCATTATTGAATCAGACAGCATCAGGCTCTCCTCAGCTGCAATGCAGCAGCCTGCATTCTCAGCTGCTTTTCCAGTCACAATGGCCCAGGTGCCTTGAGCTCAATTTGGTGGCCACTCCACAGCATCACAGCCTGGCGTGATCTGGTCCATGGGGTCGCGAAGAGTCGGACTCGACTGTGTGACTGAACAACAACCACAGCATCAAAGCCAGTTTGGTGTAGTGGTTAAGTGCACGGACTCTAATCTGGGAGAACTGGGTTTGATTCCCCACTCCTCCTGGATGACCTTGGGCAAGCCATAGTTCTGGCACAGCTGTTCTTGAAAAAGAGCAGTTTCTGTCAGAGCTCTCTCCCACCTACCTCACAGGGTGTCTGTTGTGGGGAGGGGAAGGGTTTGTAAGCCACTCTGACACCTTTGGGTAGTGAAGGGCGGGGTATAAATCCAATCTTCTTCTTCTTCTTCTCTTAGTGAGCGGCAGAGACGGTGAGTCCAGCAGCACCTCAGGTAAGTCCAGGCATGCTGTCCCCCAGACACATATTTAACCAAAGTAATGTATACTATTACACTGTTTCCGTCTCTTATTGCATCATTCTGATGTGCCACTTACGACTCTGGAAGGCTAGCACGCTGTATATACCATAGCCACGGTAGAAGAAGCAATGCTGCCCAGATGTGGATGGTTCAATTCACTAAATTATTGCTCTACTGTATCCCTGCTTTGGGTGGATTGTGCTACTCCCAGACATAGGGCCAAACCAAATGCGACAGACATGAGAACACTAGTATATTTATGTGGCAGACATAAGGACACTAGTATATTTAGTTTGGCTCTAAGCTGCTGCTCCACACATACCTTTAGTATCACAGTCCTGGAAGGAAAACGCTCCCTCATGTTTGGTGGTCAGCCCTCCACCACAGTGGAAGCACAAAGCTCGCCCAGCTTCTGGTTGGTAGGTGCCACGGGGACACAGCTGGCAGGGTTTGAAGCCATCCACAGAGTACTGGCCGGGGGGACACTGACCTGTGGGCCATTCAAGAAGAAGAGATAATCACTGGTCCAGATGAAGCATTGCTTCCCTGCACATATTGCTTCTATGGCATCAGCTGCATGCAACATGCATTATGAACACATGGAGCTATGGGACAGCACCATGGGAACCATTCACCATCCCAGAAGTTGCCTACAGCAACATTAGCGCCTCTGCACTGGAATGTGATAATGTCATGACATGAGGGGAGAAGTCCACAGTCAGAACTATGTATCCAAATCCTGGGTGGGAAGCAGATTTGGATAAATGAGCTAGGAATCTGAACTGCCCAGTGGCTCCACCTCTGCAAACTCAGATTCTTTATTTAACCCATTATGCTGTGGAGGGTTTGTCATTTATGATGAAAGAACTGAAGCTGTACTGCAAGGTATGAATAGGAAAGAGATCCTGGAAAATCTGCCTTGCATACTTAACGTCTCTCCCTGTTGCCCATCTCTTCTTACCTTTGAATGCAATTTATGGCAATAGCTATTTCCTTGTCAGTATTCAGAGAATTAGGAAAGGTACTCCAGTCTGTAATTTCTATACAGTAACTGCATTCAGCAGGCATCTGCAGGTCCTTGTGAGAATCAGGCTTGCTTTTTTTTTTTTTGTTTTTTTGTGATTCCAGATGACATTACCTCCAGCACAGTAAGAAAGATTACTAAAGGGAATTATTATTTTGAGGCCTTTTTTCAAAGGGAGGATGCTTGAGATGTTGCTGCAGTAAAACAGAGCTTGTAGTATCTACGGTTGCAAGACTGGTGTAACACGACAACTGCTTACATATGAAGCAACCATCCTCGACTGTCTGCAAATGTTAACTGAATGACAGATTTGGATTTACTCACCAACTACTTGCTATATATAATAATTTCTCTCATTTGGAAGGGAAACAGCAGGCAGTACAGTTCTGTGGATCTTGTTCTTTCCATTCCCTTTGCAGTAGCCATGGACGAGCTGAGCTCCCATTCCTAACACTAATGTTAGTCACTCTGGGACAGGCACAATGTTCCTCAGCTATAGGCTTAGGGTAACTTGCAACTTAATGCTGTACCTGCACAGCTGCTTATATTTGTTGCTCCAGCTGGCCCATAAGCATCACTTCCAGGGCAAAGGTCACAGGAAAGCTGGCCTTCTTTCTCCTGGTAGGTCCCTGGAGGGCAAGGGACGCACTGTTCCATCTGGCCGTGGTAATACGTTCCTTGCAGGCAGCTAACTAAGAGAGAGGCAGATGCGCTAGTGACACAGGTAGAAAGGCAACGCTCAAGACAACACCTTGAACTTCTTGTGGGTCACCAACTATGGGATTTCCCACCTGCCTGGGGTACAATAATACAGATCAGGCCCTCCAAAGAGCGAGCACAGTATCTGAATCTATTGTCCATAAGCACATGCAACTGGCTGCCAAGGATGTTAGAGCTGGCAGCAAGGGTGTCAGAGCAGCAGGGTAGCACTAAAGGCTTGCAATTAATGTGCAAATGGCTCTTGAACCCCTCCCTTCCTTACTCCCAACTATCTCAGGTTGTTTCCTTACCACACTTGGATCCCAGTCTTTGCTGTCCTGGCCCACAGCTCTCCTGCCTCTCAGAAGACAAGCTCAGCTTCCGGGCCAATTCGTACTCCATTCCAGAAAAGCGGATCAGGAACCTTTCCTGGTTTATGGATTTCTTCAGGGCTTTGATTGCTGACTTCAGCTTTTTCTCCACCTTCTGCCGCACACAGTTCAGATTGCAGCTGGCTGGAGACAAGGGGAGGAGATTGTGCCATTACCTAGTACTAGGATGAGGGAAATCATTTCTGAAAGTAATTTTGAAAGTAACCCTTCTTCGTTCCAGACACTGTTCATGCAATGCCACCTACTCCAACGTCTTTTGAGTGTGGTAGCCTTTCAGTGGTCAGCCTGGCCATTTTATGTATTTCTGCAAATATGCACAACCTACTCAAAGAGGATTAATATTTTACAAGGCTAATGAGTTTGCTGCCTGTTCACTATGCATTTCTTTGTAACTACCCATAATATAAAAAGGGGAAATACATATCTAAACACACAAGGACCAATAAATACGCGGAAAAGGCATTTGATAATGTATCGTGGGAATATATAATCCAGAAACTAAGAGCATGGGATTGTGGCAGTGATTTCTTAACAATGATCTCGACAATATATAAAGAACAACATGCAAAGATTATAGTAAATGGAGAACTGACAGAAAATATAGAAATTCAAAAGGGAACCAGACAGGGATGTCCATTGTCCCTGCTATTATTTATATTTATTTTAGAAACACTAAATGATTTAGTAAGGGAAAATAAGTTAATAAAGGGTTTGAAAGTTAAAAATGAAGAATTTAAATTACAAGCTTTTGTGGACGATCTTGTTTTTATACCGGAAGAACCAGAAGTATCAATAGTGCCATTACTGAATACAATACAAAAATATAGGGAAGTAGCGGGATTCAAACTGAATAATAAAAAAACAAAGATAATGACTAAAAACTGTACGAAAGAAGAAAAAGAGAACTTATCTAAAATTGCAAATCTAGAAATTACTAACAAAGTGGTTTACCTAGGTATCCAGATGACCAACAGGAATAGTGGATTAATGGAAAACAACTATAAAAAGTTACTAGAAGAAATTTAAAAAGATCTCCTAAAATGGAAAGATATGCAATTATCGTTGTTAGGAAGAATAGCCACCATAAAAATGAATATATTACCACGCTTCCTATTTCTAGCTCAAAACATACCAATATTAAAGAAGAAAACTTTTTTCAAAGATATGGATAAAATTGTAAGACAGTTTATATGGTAACCAAGATGGGTTTCACCACTGGAAGCATTTATCAAACCAACACTCTTGACAAATGATAAGATAGTAATGTATGATCAGCTCTTAGATAAAAAAGATAAGATCCAAAACTTAGATGCAAAGAATATTAACTTAACATGGTGGGAATTGGCGCAATTGATGTCTATTTATAACAAAGATAAAGTAATGGGATTCTTTAAGGAAAATAATGAATTAGATAAGATATGGCTGTCAACAAACGACAAACTAATACAAAAACTATACAGGTTCTTACTAGACATGAGGTTGCGAAGAGTCGGACTCGACTGTGCGACTGAACAACATCAACTAGAAAGATATATGGAAGATGAGACGGTTAAACCTTCTGTGTTAGCATGGATGAGGGACATGGGATATACGATACAATTTGATGACTGGGATAAAATATGGAAGATAATAAAATATCTAGGATCAACAGCTTATAATGAAAATGTATATAAAATGTTCCATCGATGGTATTGGACGCCGGATAGAATTGCAAAATGTGCTCCAAAAATATCAAAGAACTGTTGGAAATGTAAGAACAATGTAGGAACGTTTATGCATATGTGGTGGAAATGTGGCAATATGCAAAAGTTCTGGAAAATGGTTCAGCAAATGATATTTGAAATAATGAATATGAATCTAAACTTGGTACCGGAAATATATTTGTTAAATATTATCCCAGATAATTTTGATCAAAATGATAAATATCTATTAACATATATCTTAACATCATCAAGAATTATGGTAGCAAAATATTGGAAAACAGAAAAACTACCCTCTAGAATAGAAATAGCAAAAAAATTGCTAGATGTAGCTGAACTAGATAAACTAACAATGTTATTATGTGGAAAAGAAGAAATAATATTTCAAAACAAATGGTTAAGAATATATACATGGTGGGAAAAATTTACTAAGACTTCCAAAACATGACTGTAAAGATACAAAATGCTTGTGGCTGTATAATACAAAATTAAATAAATAATTTTTTAAAAAATAAACACACAAGGACATAATCCATGGAGCTGTGACTGGCCACAGTTCCTCAGCACCTGGCCACTTTATGCCCCAGTACAAATGTTACAGGCGTTTATCAGGATGCCTGATGGAAAAGTGGTGCATTTCTTGGCACTGGAAAGTATGGACCAGCCCTCGGTGTAGACCAGTGGTGGCCAAGCTTTTTGACATGTGTGCCACAGGCTGAGTCTTAAGTATGAGGCAATACCACTCTGCTGTACACTATAGTTAATATGCAGCCCATGCTGCCTTTGTATGATCTTGCCTTGCTTGAGATGGAGAACAAGCAGCAGGGCAAATGAGAAAAGAAAGGTAAAGACTTTGTTTACACATGCAGCATATTGAAGCAGGAATTAGGTGTACTTTTATCAGTTTGGACTACAGGTTTGGGTTCACATTTCTGAATTCTGCCTTCCAGGAGTAAATTAATGCAGTAGTCAGCCTAGCGCCTTTCTCCCTGACACGCACAGAGCCCTTTACCAACACAAAGTTTCTTATACTGCAGAGCATCCAGAATGGCATTCCCTATTTGCTGTCTGCAGTGGTACAGTCCTCTCTTCCATACCTACATTCTACCACCCCTTTCTACTGCATGCATAGACCAGCCCCGAATCCAGCCCCAAGACAAG